GACATGGATACTGCACGCTTGGTGAAGCCCTCAACCGTCTCGACTTTTCCAGTGCCATTCAGGACTTAAGTAGATTCAACTATGTTGCAAAAGTGAGTAATGAAGATACGTGTTGATTTAAGAATCCTCTTGAAATTGTTGTTCCGTTGTTTGTTCTGGTGTGACATAAACAAACGACTCCTTCACTAAATGTCTTACTCTGTTTTTCTCCTATAGCTTTTCCAGCTTATAGCCAGGTCTCAGCTGCGCAATTTGAGTGGAGCTGCTCAGAAAAACTATTTTAATATACTGGAGAAGATTGTACGAAAGGGTAAGGAGATTTCAGGAATTGTTGTTGCCCACTAGCCTCTAATTTAAACTCTTGTTGCGGTTGTAAAAGTAACGACTTCTGTTTATTGACCTTATTATTATTGCACTGAATGCCTAACCCCAAAACCAGTTGAAACAGTGTGTGAAATGCATATGGGAGTCTAAAATACAGCAGTGTTAATTGAAAACGGTGGTTCTTTTAAAAGACATGTTTGTTTAGTGTATTTTTAATTTTAGGATACAAAAACAAGGTCTTTTGTGTCAATTTTCTGAAGGATTTTTTCTGTTTGTTTTTCTACTAGTTCTAGACGATCACTACAACCCGCGCCTTGTGAAGGATTTGCTGCAGGACCTGAGCTCGACACTGCACAGTCTGGCCATTCATGTCGGCAGGTGTGTCCTCGTGGGAAACGTCAACATCTGGTTGTGCAGACTAAAGACCATTCACGAATGGAAGCAGCAGCTCAACAACCTGCACATCCCTAAGGTAGAAGGTCACTGGTGTTTGTGTGTGTGTGGACGTGCACAGGTATGCATGCATGTGTGAATTCCATTGTGTGTAGGAAATCTAAACACCTCAACTCGCCTCTTAGTGAAGTAGGTTTGCATCCTTTATATTTATATATTAATAGGTGAGAAACATTAAATATGGAAGGGGAAGTGTTGACAATAATCTTTAACTAGAAGACTTCATGCTCAACTTTGTATGAATGGCATCATTCTAGTGGATTGCTGTACAATCCAGCTTTGAATTTGAATTGTTATTTGTCTCCCCAGCAAATTTGCAATGGCGTGTCATTCAAAGAATTGCCGCTACACACGCAAAACAACATCCTCTGCAAGTTATCTGATGCCTGTGACATCATTAACCTGGGACAGGCCACGCCTACTCTGCAGAGCCTCAGTGAGAGCAGCATTCTGTGGAAGAAACTCTGCCACTTCCACTTCTCAGACAAACAGGTGAGAGAAAAACATATTTAGTTTAATCAGCAATGCACAAGGAGAAATTAAGGCTAAATGCGGGATTTTTAAAATGATTTTAAAGGGGATAGGCTATAAACTTACAATAATAATTTATGGTCAAGCATCCAAAGATATGGCTGCCAAATAGTTCACCTTTTGACCACTAGAGGGCAGAATAGCCACAGTTTTCTCACATTGATCTGTCTCACTCTCATTCCCTCATAAACACACAAAAACACACATCATATAACACATACTCAGGGTTGGTCTGGTTGAGAAATTGTCCTAAATAATATGTGATTTCACTTGTCCCATTTATAATAACATCACTGTCTATTGTGTTTTAATTTATTTGTTTGTGTGTTTCCTTCCACTCACATGCAGTTCTGTAAGAATTTGGTCCTATCCAAAAGTGATCATGTGGACTGGAAGCTGATGTATTTCACCTTGAGGAAACATTATCCAATGAGGGAGCAGTACGGCGACACCCTGCACTTCTGCAAACACTGTAGCATCCTCTTCTGGCAGGTAAACCAGAAGATAACACACACTTAAAACCAAATGGGGGGCATATAGGAACCACCATAGCTAAAACTCTTTAAATAAATTACAAGCTTTACATACGTAGGAGGGAAACTTTAAAACTAGGTAACAATAAGGTCAATCCAAGTGTAACTGATTAGTTTAGCTTTTGCTTTTTGCCTTTCAGTGTTTGAACAGTAAATGAAGGCAAAACCGAGACATTTATCACAGACCTGCCACCCCTTAAATTATACATGGATGACATGTGGATCAAATCAAGTATCACGTTTATACCAGAGCACATTGTATTTCCTTTGCCAAAGAGACATAACATCCACCATTCTCAAAAACACCTTGTTGCAATCACGCAGTCTCCCTCACGCTGATACGTGTCTTTAGCATGCTGTGAGAAAGGTGTTCCAATAGTAATTGAAACCACATTTTTTTTACACATTTATCCATATTACAGTTCAAATTTGACTTCCTGTAAAAAGAAAAAAAGATGATTTCCCAGGCAGCCATTAGCTCACCTTTGAAATCCGACTCTATTGAAAAGTCACAAGTGGACAAAGAAATCATCCCATTTCAAAACAATATTCTCGATATTCAGCAGGGATTAATGATTCACATACTGTATATAAGTGAACACATTATCACTGATAAGATAAGATAAAGTTGAGTGTCGTGTGGGAAAATGTGTCTTGGGCTTCAAGCCTCTGCATTACACAACATTATTGCTACTTTTTCTTTTTAACATTTATATTTTATTAAACATTTTCAAAAGACAAAAACACACGGACAAGGACATGGCTCACACACATCACAAGTAGGACAGGACATAACATGAAGGGTGGGGGGCAGGGAGATTACAGTGTCAGTTACATTTGATGTATGCATATGGCGTTTTATTTATACATGATTTGCTTCATAATATAGGTATACTTCATTATTGCTATTTAATGTTACAATACAATAAATATATAATACAAAATATACAAAGCATGTATATTATAAATGTATACACTCTTGCATAAACATGCATACATTTACATGTTAAGTAGTTATTTAACATAAAAGATAATGGTGATGATGATGGTTATCCTTGTTGTCTATAAATGTAATTAAAATCTCATGTGCTAATGCATACTGTACTTAGCTGTCAGTGGTAACAAATAATAATAATAATTATAATTCCTTACATTTATTATAGCGCTTTTTCCAGATGCTCAAAGCGCTTTACAAATACACATTACACATATCATACATGCAATGGTCACCAATACATTTTAAAAAACACTCACTGTTTGCCCTCACTGACACATTTGATAAGACGTTTAACCACGTGTAAGACAGAGTTTGAGTTATCAATCGGGGAAGATTGGCATCTCCCCAGACTAATGGTACCTGGATTCAAAATGCAGCATTTCCTTATATATCTCCCCCCCCTACTTGTGATTATCTACCACACAGAGTCTTGTTTTCCTCCCTGGCTGGGTCCCTGTACTGTTTAACCTCTTCCCTCTCCTTGCTTGTCTCCTTCCTTTCTGGCTCCCCTTCTCCCTGACTCTTAAAGGATCGCCACCTGACTTTGTTATTAAAGGTACTTTTCTTCCCATCACGCCTTTCTGTTCTGTCAGCTGCTGGTTTGTCTCCGATCTGATGATAACTTGTCTTTTTTCCGTGTGTGTGTAGCTTTTGTCTTGTACTGTTCTCAGTTTACCTCGATGTCATCACGTTTTGCTCGAGTCGTGTTTAGCAAACAGTGCCGCTCTTTCCGCTGACTTTTAAATGGCCTGTAACCACATTCTTGAAGTTCATAAATTAATCTGAATGTTGAGTTAGCGTGTCTGAAAGTAAACTGTCAGTTGTCATTTAGTTTAACACAGATATTTATCTATGTGCATGCATACCAAGGTCCAGGATTAGACCACACCAGTAAATGAGTAAATCCATCACTAAATATGTGTAGAAGTCCTTCCATGTTCGTGGTATGTGCTGGTTGCTGTTTCTGCTGGTTCTGTCTCTCTTCTCTCTAACATGTTGTTGTCTGTCTTTTAGGACTGTGGCCATCCGTGCACAGCCATCGATCCGGACAGCTGCCTCATGCCCATTTCTCCGCAGCACTTTATCGAACTCTTCCAGTTCTAAACCCTCCATGTTTATCTTCAAGCGAAGCGTCCGCTTACTCTCTCCAAAACCGAGAGTGTGCACGAGACTCTTATGTCATTTACCGAAATACAAAGGGCTTAAACTGAAAGAGATTACTTGTTTATGTCTTCATTTCTTTACGCACAAGGGTTTCCACTAGAAAAAGGAAATATGAAATGTGTAATATTGGTGAAATATTCCTCCTGCTGCACAAATGTTTTGTCTAAAAAAATCTGTTCTTCATTGAGGAAAGACAAAATAAAATGTCAAAGATGTATATGTAAAAGGAGTTGTAGCATGTTTATGGTAGGTAAGTGGTGATATGTAATGTTTAAGAGTTTTTTTAAGTTGTCAACATTTACATTGAGGCAGACTAAGATGACTCGTGTTCATTGTTCGTTTAATGTGGTTAAACTGAGCTGCTTTTTACTCTGTACTGTTTTGGTGGTATTGTTGTGCAATAACTGAACGCATTTGTTTACATACTGTATGTTGTCCTCAGTGAATTCTTGTTGTGCTCTTTGTACATTGAAGGGACAATTATGTAAAACTCCATTAGCTAGACATGTTTTTACCGCGTACTTTTGCCAGAGAAAATGTTAAACATTATGAAAGAATTTTTTTTTTTTACTTTCTTCCAACTTTTGTAATCATTATTTAACGCGACAGGATTTAACTAGCTATAATTAAATATTTCTAAAAACATGTTTCTGATCATTTTATTATAAAGGGGCAGGGAATAATTTTTTACGATCTTCATTTAGTTTTAACTGTAGTTTCCACTCCATGGATATTAATGTTTTGCTACCTTAAAAAGCAATGCAAATAGTTTGTCATTGAAGCAATATTTCATGCTTAATAGTCTTTCTTTAATGCTGGAGATTCATTTTCTGTAAAGATGTAACAAAAGTATGTTTTTTTATGCGCAACTGGCTTTAAATGCCAAACAATTGGGACAGTTGTTTATGTTTTGGCCACTGTATCAGTAAAACCAGCTGTTCAATCAAGGGTTACATTTACTCCAGACTTCAATTTGTTGGATAAATTAGAGCCAGACACTCAGACTAGATCTTTATTCTGATGAGAAAGTGTGACCCAGTTGTAATGACTAAATACAGGATACAGGCATCTGTGGACCTGTATCTGTGAACAGTTTTGGCTGCATCAAAGTAGACTTCAGTATCAAACACATTCAGCAGACAGATTGAAACAAAGAGGAAAAGAAAAAAAAGCATAGACCAGTGGCGTGACCTCACCTAAAAAGAAATCATAATAAAAATGAAGACATTGTTTATGTCCTATCAAATATACATACAGCATTAGAGAACCCACTAGGTTTTTCTAATGTTAACATTGCACACACATACAAGCTTTTGGTTGCCAGGGATTGTAAATGGAAACCAGTTAGTGTCTCACTGGCTGATGCAGCACAAGATGAGCTGATGAGTTCAGCAGCTTTGTGCTCATGGTTCAGTTCAAATTTACAGCAAACACATGATGTCATTCTATTGATACAAGGCACTTTCCAGGTACATGGACTCACTGCTTTTCTAAGAAACCAGCATACACAAAGTTTGGCTTTAATCTGGTCATCGTTACACTTTTCTATAAATAATATTCAGCATTGGATTTAAACATGACACTGGGATTGTCTTTGAGTTATTCCTAGACGATACAAATATAACAGAACTTCAAATGTCCTTTTCCACGCCAACTTTGGTTTACTACAATGTTATGTATGCATGTCTCTTAATAAACTTGCTTCCTCTCCTTACTTTCAAACACACATTCACACCAATATTCCAGATTCAAAGTATTTTATACACAGATTGCACAGATTTTAAGCCCATATTTATGTTTATATTTAGGCTCAAGACTTACATTCTTCACACAGATACTGTAACTGCAAAGACAGAAAGGAAGTGAAAAAGTCTTCAGTAGCAGGTTAGCATATTCTTCATTAATTCTCTACCTATGTCAGCCACAATAATCATACAAAAAGGCCAGTGGATATCACAGTTAAATGGTCCAGTACTTTAAGGCTTTAATGTGCTGTATTTTATGTCAGTAATTCAAAAGTGGCACCATTGATAAAAGTGACCTATTTTGTATTCAAGAAAGTCAAAGCTTAAAAAATAAGCAAACGTCATGTGTTGTGTTCATGGCTATACAACAACATCTCAATACCAGTTGACATCGGTTTCATCCAGAACTCAAATATAATGTGGCTCCTATTTAAACCCCTCCCAAGCACTTTCTGACACAATCCCTCTGCTCATCCTGCTGATGCCGGCCAGCTTGACTTTGGCACGGTCTGTCCACCTGATGGCAGCTGTTGAATCCTTGGAGTCCGACAGATTAGCATAGCGGGAGGAGTCCTCCTCGAGGCCCCGGCCCGCCCAGGAGGCCAGCTCCAACGGGAGGCCCAGAGAGTCGGGGAAGGACACCGGAGAGTCCCCTTCCTGGCTCTTGTCTTCTGGAACGTCATCGGTCACAGTCTCAGTTAAGTTCTCCAGCTGAGGCGGCTCCCAACACTCCATCTTCTCCAGTTTTTTTGTTGGGGAGATCTGCCTCATTGTCATGGTAACGCTCTCCCAGAAACAGTGGCCCTTCTCTGGCTTGTCCTTCTTTTCCTTCTCCTTCTCATCATCCTTATTTTTCTTGTGAGACCTTAAGAAAAACAAAAGAGAGAGGAGCATAACGTTAGAAAGAGGATGTTGCACAACATTCGAAGCCCTGGGAGGCAAATATGAAACAAAAACAAATCTGGTTTTGTCTCCTTTTTTTGTGACTCAACACCAGGTGGGAGAAAAATGTGAGGATAATCTTCCGAAGTTTTTTTTTTTTTTGTCAAGATCATTTAGGGAAAAAAAAATGTTGTGTATTGTTTCAAATGTGTTGATATATTTATAAAAATTGAATAGGCAATACAAAGGAATATAGTTACACGATGTTTGATTCCTGTAAGGGTAGAGTGTTTAGGTCCTGTAAAAAATTATAACAGGGTTTAAAACTTTTAAAAGTATAGGTCTACCTGCCAGAGTTATTAGTCTTTATTTACTTGTTAATGCTTGTGATTGATTAGTCATGCCTGCGGAGGTCAGTGGAAGTAGCTGATGGCCACAAAGTGAAGCTGGCAGAGAGGCATCTTTATTATATCACAACTTTTCAGGTATGAATAAGTATTTATGCTGAATTAGAATATGTGGATAAAATGCTTGTGTTTTAAGATCATTTACAACTTGTAAAAAAATATCAAAGCAACCTCAAAGGTTATCCTGGCAAAAAAAACACAGGAGAAAACATTTTAGATAAGACTTAAAATATTGATCTCCAGATAATTGTATCACTTGAATCTCAGGGCTTCTGTTTGACCGCTTACATCTATAGTATGAATTCGACCAACTGGGTGGGGTACTACATCGTTACACTGGAGAATGGAACTTTCCCCAGCGAGCCATTATAAAGGAATTCCCGGTTGTTTGTCACATCGGCTGGTTAATTAAGGTTTTCCTCTTCATGTATTTCTACTTCCTCAAGTGGTCTGAAAGTTAATATCTGCTGGCGAAGACAATTATTTCTCACATTCAAACATACAACCATATCAAATGGGTTGATTGGAGTTGATTAATACTGTATTTCCCCCTTATAGTTGAAATTGAAATGTTGTATTCTTTATTAGTTGGTGTTGCTGCTATATCACAACACACTGATGCAATTCCTACATACATGTATGCATTACCTTGTGATGAATACATGTCAATACACTGTGGACACATGGGGTGACATGTTAATGTGTGTGTAAACTCACCCTCTGCGGTCGGCAAGTTGAACTCCTGTCAACAAGAAGTGCTCGTCGTCTTTGGAGGAAATCTTCTTCTCCTTCCTCTCTTTCTTGGACATGATCTTCTTCACCTTGGCCTCCTGACAGAAACCGGCAGACGAAAGAGCATTTGATTTTCAATTACAGAGCTGAAAAGATTACCCGCATCTGTTGCATGTTAACTTGTTATCTCTGCTCCCTGTTTGTGTGTTTGTACTTTTCAAAGAGGCTGAAGTAAATTTCTCAGAAATTTAGAAAAGCGGCCTTATTTTCAGTTTGATGAATATGAGTTATTTTCAAATCCACTTCATTGGCTCTGAGCTAATACATGTTTTTCTCTGTCGAATCTAAATCATCCACGCATCTTTCATCATGCAACCTTCTTATTGTTGTTGTACAAAAACCTTAATAAATACAGGGAGCTTGAATGGCATTGACTTGGCAGAAACAAATGGCACATTCCAGTGGGAGACCCTCCACTCCCTCTGAAACTCCCCCGGTCTCCCCCATCACATCAGAATTCCTTGCTGCCCTTGCTGCTTTCCACCGAGCACAGATACCGCCCTCCTCAGCGAATATGGGGAAAAAAATTGGCTCGTGTGCTTGGGAAGAATTCCCAATGTCAACTGTCAAGGCCATAACGTTTACTCCTACTCTTATCCGTGCCTGCCTTCGCTTTACCGTAGTCAAAACATTCTCACAACTCAGAACAATATTTGATGGAAGCACCTGACCTTGGGACCTCTCAATTGCTTCTATTGTCTCTATATTATTACCTATTGAGAAAGTGGTCAATTCAAACAACACACAGGATGTGACAGCAACTACAACAAGCAAACAACTAGCTGGACATGAAAGCCGTCATCTCTCAAACCAAACAGGAACACGTACAGTCTGTTAGTTGCTACATGCTTCTCAAGCTCTACATTTCATCTAACACACACTGCTGAAGGTACTCCTAATCTCACTCAAGTTCTCTTTTCATATCCAAAGCTATGTGACATTTGATGGATTTGTAAGCACTTTGTACACCATGGTATTTCATTAGGAGACAGGCACTTTTGCTGATAAACGGAAAATGTAATCCTCATCTCACCTCAACATGAACATGCCAGAGGGCAAGAATGCAGTTTCTAGGAGTTAATTATCAAGGAAGATATGCTTAGATATTTCAACACCCGGGGTCTCTTTCTGTCTCTCTTCTCGCTCTGCTTCTTGTTTCCTATGTGCCGTCAGGTGTAAACTGTATCAGATTTGCTGTATTTCGAGTTTTGCAGTAACAAAATCCAGAGAAGCCAAAACAGATTGAGTGTATCAGTGTGTAGTGCATGAACAGTCTCTAAAATGCAGTTGTGTATATGCATGTGTGCACAGACACAGGCCTTCCTATTCACCGTTCTCTTCAGTGTTAACCTCCGGGCCTTAAGATCCAAAGCAGTTCAGTGCCCAGTAATCTGTCCGGCCACAAAGCAGGTAAACCAAGCAGCTCACTGAGGCTCGCTGTGTGGGGGAGCTTTACCTACAGCTCCACTCCTGGCAGAACAATAGAGCTCTTATTGGACCAAATTCCTCCATTCATACTCCAGAGAGGGAAGCTGGGAGATTAAAGAGTCATTTGAATTTGGAAATACTGCTAATTGTGGTTTTCAGACACAATACCGTTTTTTTTAGAGACAACAATCAGGCCTTTTTGAGATGACTTAAATGCCTCCGCTTGAGGTATAAGCAGCATGTACTTTTAATGGGTTCTGATCCATCTGAAGCTCTTGTTGCTTGATATATGTTTTACCATATTGGTCTGCCAATTTATAAGGGCCATTTTAGGTAAAACAAACAAATGTGGAGGCAGGTGGATTAGGGTATTTTCAAGTAAACAAACACAAATAAAAAATAATAAGATCTGAAATTTGGATGAAATTGTAAAATATTCAAGTGTATCTTTTCTTATATTTAAAGCTTTTTTAGGAGTGAATTTACTTACATGAATAATAACCCTCCCTCCTTTTTGTCTTTCTTACATGAAATAATCTTGTAGTCTACACGGTAACCCTAGATCACAGACCAGCATCCAGCAAATTCTCCCTTTTGAGAAGCTGTTATAGAAGCAGTGAAATAATTGTACTTTCACGGTGTCAGAGCAGTCTGAGGCTATTTTCAGACTTGTTTTTCTTCCACAGTGATTGTTCCCATCCAAAAGGCCCAGCTCCTTGAAAGAATGCTGTGTTTCCTTCCCTTCTCCAGTCCAGCCACCCCTGTCCTCACAAACAGGACAGGTTATGAAATATGTCCTGTGAACTTAATCACAGGAGCTATACATGCGAGAGGGCAGCCAGAGTTCGAAGACAATACATTGTTAGTGTTTGAGGTTTACACCAAAGCTTTACACGATCAGAAGGGTTCAGACACGGCCACATATATGAGTAAAGACTTTTTTTCCGTCACTATAAATCATGAGATGTAAGATTTATCTCATTAAATACACAGAGCAATTAATGGTGTGTTTAGTTTTCAACAATCATCAGTCAGCTTTTGATGGTTAAGCAATTCTGGATTGGGTTGCAACACCTATCTGTAAATCCATCACTGTGTGTACGAAGTCCTCCCTACATTTTTAACAATAAATGGTGTCATATTTGTGGTGAACTCCATTAGGTTGCACCTTTAAAACCTATGTTATACCTTAGGTAGTAAAGACTCGAGCAACGTGTAACTTGGTTGCTAGGAATTATTTTTAGCTCTGTTCATTCTAGCCAAGTCAATATTATTTATATAACCCAATATTATAAACCACATATTTGCCCCAGGGGACTTTCAGTGCTTAACAATCTGTAGATCAAACAATACAAACAAACACACAGTTTTAGGAGCCAAATTATGTATTCAACTTAACTGTACATCTTTTGAATTTATTACAAATATGCTCATAGAGGAATATTTATGAATATATTTGTCTAACCAATCTCATGAGGTCATTCACTCGGATGTGTTGTTTAAGAGAAATGTAAAATTAAAATGCTCCAGTTTAAATTGCTTTGAATTATTAAAAAGTATAAGTGTCAATTATATATATATATAAATTAAATAAGCGCCAATCAACTATATCTTGGTACACTTTACTAAAAGTTTAACTTATTAGCATCCTAACATAAATATTTTTGTAAGAATATTTGTGTTTGTCAACAGGAATACAGAAGAAACACGTCTGATCGTTGGAGAAAGGATGTACAATGGGCCAAAGATGAACTCATTGTTTTTTGGAGCTGATCTCAATTGCTCAGTGAATCTCAAAATTCCCTTTTATTATTTAACTTACAAAAAAGGCCTTGGCGCAGGAATGCACTCTCCAGGTGCCCCTGTAGTTTCTATTTGGATACACATGATAATCCCAATCACAGAAAGTTCCTTAAACCAAAGTCAAACTAGGACATTTGCTTTTTGCCTTTCTTTTCTTTTCTTCCTTGTATGATCTTCTGACTGCTTGAGTCTCTTGCTCTGTCTGACTCTCTTTTCAATATGGTTGCATCACCAGGTTATTAAAATGTTAATATTCCTGAAAAAAAATGATGGTTAAACTACAAATATAAGATACAAAAACAAGTCAAAACTACAGTGACCTGACGTCACAGTTTAAGGATAACAGTACAATTCAATAGCCATAACAATAAACAAGACCGCTTTCCAGGGATAAGGTTAGAGATAAAACCAGATGACAACTAAAGGCTGGCGTGTTTACAAATAAACACAGCAGCACCCTGCTGCTTTACCTTAGCTCTACCCTGAGACACTGCCTGTGCATTAGCTGCTTTGAGAAATTCAAAGATATGGATATTCTGGTTACACAAGACACATTATTTAAGGGTTACACAATCATAAGTGAGATATCAAAATTGCAATATGGTGATTTTGTGTACCTGTTCAGGCATTGTGTGAGAAGAGCATGTTGGGCAAGTGTATATGTTTGATTGCTGAGTTTAATTTGGAATCAAAAGTGTTTGTGTGTGATGTCCAAATAGCTGGGGAATTGTTTACCTTGGAGACTGCAGTGACCGCTTCCTCCTCCTCTTCCTCTCCTTCTATGTCTTTGTCCTGTGACACACACACAGCAGCAGTGGGTTAACACAAATAGCCACCCCCAACACACACACACACTTTTTTTTCAAGAGGTGTAAAATAAACACGCTCTGTTTGGAGGGCAACATTTAGGAATGGACGGAGAATGAGGGGAAGCTACTGAACTCAGAGGGCATATTTAAACAAAAGAGAGAGAAATAAGGTTATGACCTATTGCCTCAACATTACATTACACTATTTGAGTATATAAGTAGAGCTATTTTGGCTCCATTGTGCTTCAGTCTCCTATCCTTTGTATATTATTTGTGTGATAGTTTCTTTGTTTATTATTTTATGTAAAGCATATTGTAACTTTGTTTTGGTAAGACATTGCCAGTGGTGGAGGAAGTAGATATTTTACTTATGTAAAAGTAGAAATACTACATGGTAAAAAAACTATTTTTCAAGAAAAAGTACTTATTGTGCATGATGTCATATTTCAGAATCATTTAATGTACTTGATTATGGATGCATTAATCAAATGCGTTCATCTCAGCTGGTGAAGGTGGAGATAATTGTAATTACTTTATATGCTGCTGCTCTATATCTTAACCTATAATTGTATCATCATCGTATATGTATTCATTTATATATATATGTTGTATTATCTTATAATCTGAATATGTGAAGTAAGTAACTTTTTTTCAAATAAATGTAGTAAAGTAAAATAGAACAATGTTTACTTCTAAAATGTAGTGGAGCAGAAGCATATAAAGTAGCATAATCGAATGAAAGTACCCCACAATCTTACTTAAGCACAGTAATTGAGTAAATGTACTTCAATATATTACACCACTGAACATGGCTGTGTGCCTGTGACTTGAGTGTGCCATAAAAATGATAAAGCACATTCAATAATGTTGTTTTTAACCTTTTATATCCATTTTGACTGATATTTACAGTACGTGATTGACTCATGCTTTGCCTGTTAAGACATATAATATGACACTTGGATTTGCTCCGAAAGACTTGAAAATATTAAAATCATAAGGGGGCGGCAAGAAGTCATCAGACATACAGCTGAGCCTGAGATTACTGAAGTGGAGCCAGAATTCCTGTAAAATGATCAAAGCTATAAGAGCTTCTTACATCTAACAACTCCATGAGAGAGAGGAGGAGAAACGCTGGTTGGACATGTCTAAGCAAAGTCTACTGGGTCTCCGCCACCTGAGCTGATCAAAGACACAATACTGATTGCTGACTACTGTCAGAGCGTAAAAGCATTAACAATTTGGAACAGAGGAAAGAGTGAGAGAAGGGGGAGACTCAGGGGGGAGAGAGTAGTGTTTCGGGTGGAAGAAACGCTCCTGCCAACAGAAATTAAGGGTTCTGCTCTGGCACCTCGGGGGTGTCTGGGTTAGACTGGGTCTGTGTACAAGTGTGTACATTTCACCAGTGTTGTCTTTTAAATGCCAGATTACTAGGCAATACAGACGCACGGTGAATTTTAACACAGTAGTATAAACTGAGGTTTTGAAAGGCATTGCAACCCAACAATAGTCAATAACAAACCACACTGTCCAAGCCCAGACACTCACAACATGTTTTTGTCTGACAAACACTAGGCCACATCTACCTAAAGTATTTGTGTTAGTTAGTTAAGAATGTTGCTACCACTCTCATACCTGTGCAGTCAACATAGGGCGACAAAGCCAGGACAATTTGAGCTTAGCTGAGCATAAAGACTGGAAAATGGGGTAAACAGCTTGAATGCGACAATCAAGCAAAGTGGGAAGACACAGGAGAACTTCCTAATATTCCAGCTTTAAAAACAGGAATAACCAAAATGTGCCTTTTTTGTTGGTGTTATGATACAAACAAGACCAGATACCCACATCTCTGTATGGCTCCTTTTAAATCAGCAGAATCAATGAGAGTGTCAATGATGAATTTTATTGAGCATGAGATATCATTACTGTCAGAAATTGCCAGCATCTCAAGTCGGAGGCAAGTTCCCGACTCAGCTGCTCGTAATAATGGTTTAGAATGATGCATCTGTCAGAAGACAACTGGCCTATAGCATCTCTAAATCTCACTAATCAGCCCATCATATCTTATTAATCATTGTCAAAATTACAGCTTGTGGTTTTACATTAGAAACAGTGACTTCCTCGAGTCCTTTGACAGAGGCGAGCTAGCTGTTTCCCCCTGTATTCAGTCTGTGCGCTAAGCTGCTACGGCTTCATGATAAACGTAATTCTCCACAAAGAATAATCATATTTAGAACGTCAAATTATTGCTTCAAAGTTATGAAAGCTTCAGACAAACCCTTTTCATTTATATCCGGAGGATTTGGTTTAACTTCTCATTTAAAACTCGTTTGATTTTATTTTATTTAAACCCTAACCCCTTCAACAGTTGATCCACAGAGGCTTTACCTTTCTTCTCCTCACCACTAATGATGTATATGTGAGGTCTTCTGAAGTTAATGCTCAGGCCTGATCTGTACTCTCATGATCCCACTTCACAAAGAGTGCTGTGACGGTGGTGGTTTAGGGTGATGTTATTGAAGTATTCAGGTGTGTTAGCGCTTTAAGCCAAAGACAAACAGGCACACGCACCTCCTGCAAGCTCACAGGAGCCTCTAGCAGCCTGTTGAACCTCAGTGGAGTGAAGGCAAGCTGTAGTCGGCCTGGAGCACTGTGGATATTCATTTCTCCCTTTATGCTCTGCCTCTTTTATTATTATCCCTTTATACTTCTCTGTCTGTCTGCAGTTTGTCTGTATGGGCGATGCTGATAGTTTCAACTAATTTGACTGGCACAATAGGAAAATAATCTCCACTGCCATAAAACATAATGGAGATAACAGAAAACAAACACTATGTAACTAAGAGGCCTACTGTGTCATTTAATGATTATTAGCAAACATACCATTTTGATCAAGAAATAAAATACAGCTTTGTACAAGAGTCAGAGAAGTGGTGTTATCCCTGTACCACCAGGATTAATATGGAGAAAGTTAAAAAAAAGAGCAGGACTTGTGGAGCCTTTAAACCAGTGAAAGCAATAAAACAGATTCATAAGGAAGTTGTAAAAGTCATTAAACACAAATAAATACATTTTATTTGCATCTGTTCCATTTTCTAATCAACTTAGCATTTTAATTGTTGCTGGTTTCCTTGTGTTGCACGAAACTGTATGTATTTAAGTTACGAACTGTTGAACAGACAACAAACAATATGATTATGTCAACTTGCATTGTCGGAAATTGTAATGAGTGTTTCCCTATTGTGTGATATATAACGTGAATAGTCAAGAAAAACGTTTTAAGTTACTAAACAAGATTGTTATTTATACCATAAGCATATTTTGAACCCATTTCCTTTTAAATTTCACTTTTTTGTAGCTTTAAATGTTGATTTCTAATTTGTTTAACTCAGTCTGACAGTCTGATTATCTTTATTGAATCTTAAATAACTTCTTTTTTTTTAAACTAAAACATTCATGAAAGTGATCATGACGCAAATATCTTTGACCCTCTCTGGGTGACCATCAGATTGTAAATAAGGGAAAGGAAAGGCCATGAAGTCCAGAAGTTGTTATCATAACTCTTTGGTTCATCCTGTATCATTGCTGGGCTCGATCTGCCTCTTCACTTTGTTTACAACATTTTATGACCCGACCCCTGACCCATCCATGTACTTTATCACCATGGCGACTCAAGGGGACCTCCCTGATGACTTTCCCAGGAATTCTGAGGAGAAGTCACTGCCCTGATCCCAGACCAGCACTCATCGTTCTAAGATCTGGGGAGGACTTGAGAGAGAGACACAAACTGAACTCTGAGCAGCTCTGTGAAGGTAAGGGACACTTGCGTTGGTTCCCAGGGTGGAAGTAAAGAAGTCTAATAAAACCCAGCCAAGGGTCACAGATCTCGACATTATCACAACAGATTAAAAATGCTGGGAAGTGGTGTTGGTCCATCTTCCCAATTGCCTTTACATCCAGGGATTGCTGTGTGGCTTAAATGCAGGTCATGGGTAAAATCTGACACGGTTCATCACAACATCCAAACTATCTATGTGATGTTGCTCCTCCTGTCTCATGATCATCTTATCCGTCAATGTTTGGTTTTACTTCAGCAATTCAAGCAATATCACATAATATTGACGTGTTAGTAAGCCTGCAACTGAATACTTTTATTTAGTCTCTCCATTAAACCTTTATTCACTGTATAATAGTTTGAATACATTGTTATCACACTTACAGAAGCTAAGCTAAGAAAAAAGATGACGCATGATGATAGCACATTGTTTTGACTCCTGCAACCATGTGTTATACAATGAAGCTAAATTGCCCATGTGCCCCTAACCTTTATGGATAAATGTGTCTGTGAATTTTAAGCTATGTCTACTCGGACATTTGATAATTTACTGTATATCAACCAAACTAATGTTAGGGCTCCTTTAAGTAGCATTTAGGACTTTACTACAAGTCAAAACCTGATACTTGTCTCATTTAAATTCTACTATAAAACAAATATATGTTCCAAAGGTTAAAAAGTACAAATTAGATAGGATTTTACAGCAAGAAGCTGAACATGCAGCTTACTATTTAGAATGAGACGGGACTGCTATGACTTTTGGCCTTTGTGTGTGTGTGTGTGTGTGTGTGTGTGTGTGTGTGTGTTCATGGATTCTTCCCTATGCCCCCCCATACCTTGACAGATCCCAGCTGCCTGCTGATACAGCGGCTCTTAGACCTCACACACCATTGCTCAACTGACTAATGTGGATTTGTATTAAAAGAGCATGTGTGTTTATATTCATTTGTACATATTAGTCCTGTCTGACAATCACAATGGTATATGTAATTCATGTTGATATGTATCCTATATTCAAAGAAGCACAATGTGGAATGCTTTCTATTTAAACTGATTTGTTATATATTGTTACAGTTTTGCAGTCTTCATGTATCCTATGTTAGGATTGGATTGGCTCTCTCTGGGACACATTGAGCTACCTCTTTTCTGTCACTTCCTCCTCAGTTAGCATGACAGAAGTTTGAGCACTTGTCCTCTTCCCTCTGCTCCACAATCTCAGTAACAGAATCAGATGTATTTGTTCACCTTTTTAGGAAATGTATCAGCTTCAAAGTTGGGTAATGTAGTTTAAATTATTTTGAGATGGGTAATAAGTTATGTCTACAGTTTATGGATTTAATATTAATTTAAAAATAATTTGTGTAAAAGTATCCATCTTAACAAATAATGTAAGCTGTTGGGGGAAATATATTGCTGTCATACAATGTTTTTTTGACTCACTAAATCCCACGAGCCTCATATTAATATCCTGACATTTAGAAGACAACTGAACAAGTGGATAGATACATTTTAGCCGAACTCCAAGGAATCATTTAGCCATTTTCTAACACTATTGTTTGAGGAAAGACACACAATATCATACAGTAAATAGTTGTTATTGTTAGAGATACATTGTTTCAATCCGTGTCATTACCTTGTAGGAGTGATGCTGGTGCCAGGACATGTCGTCTTCCTCTGACGCATAATCCACCAGCACTTTACTCTTGCTTTTCTTAAACATATCTCCACTTGTCGCTGAAACAAACCGTCTTGGCCGGTTGCCTTGTTTGGCCTCAATTCTAAGGTTCAACTTGAACAGTTGGTCCCGTTTTGTCCGTTTAATGTGGAGGTCGTAGCAACGCACCTCCGTTGCACGTTCCGCTCTTTTGGTTATTTCTCCACAAACAAATTCAGACAGCTTTCTCCGAAAAGCTTATTAAGTCATACAAGTGCCAGGTACTGCAACGATCGAGCGTTTGGAGTGTGTTTAGTGCGTTTTTACGCAGGCTCGCCGCTCGACCACCTGGACCTCAAACCTTCGCTCCTCCCAGTCGCGTCCCTGCTCCGGATCCTTGATGTTGCCATGGTAGAAGAAGGAGGAAGGGGTCATACGTCTCATCTCCGGCCGATGCAAGAACTACGCATCATGCAAATATATTGTCCCTTTTTCATATCTTTGATGTGTGCAGACTGCAATAAACACGGAAACGGAGGAAGCTGTTGCCTGAGTATTTTTGTTGTAATATGTATATTGTCTGTTTTATGTTCAAATTATATACTCTGACATAAGCAGAGGTGAAAGAACTAGAAGTACTCTGATTATTTACTTCAGTAAAATAGCAGCAACACAATGTGAATACTTCTTATATAGTCTTGAAAAACAAAATAAAAGTACCATATTATTGGATTATACTTATTAATTCATAAACCAGTCAGTTATGTTGCTGCTGGTCATCATATAATTAATGTTCGTGTAGGCAGCTTCATCTCTTCAACAATACATCGTTATTCATTTTTTTTTTAAATGTCGTGGTATGTAATGTAAAATCCTATTATAAAGTCGTAAAAATTATAAAAATATTTTCTTAAATATATTTTATTATGTAATTGTCTTGCTGCTGTGTTTTTCCTATTAGTGTTTTTCAGTATTATCAAAGTGGGATATGTTACACAAGGAGTTCTGAAATTATTATTAGGATATCTAGACACATGGGCAGTGGGCATACATTAAAAAAAAGGAACAATCTTAATCTAGGTTTTTTCTATTCAATCATGAATTATTTTTAGTTGGTTGATGCATTGAGATAGTTTCGGTTAAAGGTTCACTGTGATCCTCCAAATATGTTCAGGAACTAAATCAATCATTGAATGACTTTAGGATGAAAACAACTGAGGGTTTGTTTCTATCTCAACTTTTTTAAAGGCCGATCCTGTATTAACTATAGACAAAGATTGTTTGTTGAATAAAATAAATCAAATGTATTTCAGTACGGTTATTACCTGTTTGGGGTTAGGAAACTTAATGTGTTATACAAACAGAGGACAGGAGGACCTTTTATAGACGTTGGTAATGTATTTTGGTAAGAATGAAATCTCTCTCTCTCTGAGACCTCTGACGCCAGAGGAAACAAATGACACATTATGCTGCTGGGCTGACGCTAGCCGCTTAAAATAGCAACAGTTTAGCTCCGGTTAAGACCACTCACCTGATTCAATGGTTCTTAAATTCCCATTTCAATGTCCACATTATACAGTAAAGTCAGTGGGGAATGTGGATTGTTACATGTGTAAGAATTTATAGGAAAAACGCAAAAAACACAGATGCTGTTTTTGAGAATTCTACATAATTTCTCTGCCCGGAAAAGGTTTTGAGACAGCAGTGTTTAAGTCATACAAGGTGTTATGCAATGTTGTTGTGTCTGTGTGCACCAAAGTCAATTTACAGTAATGTTCTTTATTGATTACTTTTATATATGTAAGTGTCAGCTCTTCATTAGCAGCTGACACAAGCAATGACTGGCTGTTAGGACATGTCCGTCACCCATCAACAGGGAGGTCAGTGACCTCTGAGCTCATCAGTTAGTCAACTGCAAATGTAAGACCCCTTCTTGGATGTGTATTCCCAGAGTATCTCTACATTGGTTATTTACAGTCTAGGTGGCCCTGGTTGCGACATGGATGTCACTAATCAATCCTCTTGATAGTCTTTGCCCTATAAAGATTATTTTTTACAAATTAGAAACCCCTCTAGGAACTCATGGATCTGAGAGGACAAACTGACGTCCTTCATACTGTGTTAGAAGTATGGATTATCTGCTAATAAACTATACCATATTTTTCAGAATACCAACAAGAACACCCACTAGATGTACTATATGTTGGCATGTACGATATGCATATTTTTAAGGAGCCTCCTACGTTATCGGCTCTAATCATTGAGACAGCAGGTAAGGTCTGACAGGGTCACAGTTATGATGGGACACAGCTGGGATTATCCAACCTGCTTTGAATGTCTCACATGGACACAGATGTACTGTACTGTGCAGCTTAAACTAGTCTTTAAGAATGTCTGGGGCAATGTGCTTAACTTCTTTAATGCTAAGTTGTTTTTTCTCCATGAAGTCAGAACAAGACAGTAAATATCTTGTATAAAACTTTATTTTTTACCCTGTCTCGGTTCTCATCATCATTTTTTATTTGAGTTATAAATGATAAGAACTGGTTAAATAGACCTAAAATATATTTTTTCACAAAGGCTTCTGTCATTTTACTCAGCAAAAAGAAGGAGCTGGCAGAGATAAAGCATGACTCAACAACTAGCTGACTTGATTCAAAGGTCACAGGGTTTCTCCCACGGGACTACATCAAAACGTGTTAGCCAGGAACAGAGATGAAAGCTTTAATTATGTTCACTGGCCAACTCTGTGGGATGTTCCTTAGAGACTGTATTCAGTGTAGCTTTAATGAACAGTTTGTATATTAAGGGTGATTTAAACTCCTTATAATTTAAATTACCATCTACATTTGAGGTGTGCATGCTCAAGTTGCATTTATGAGCATTGTAGAATATTTATTACGTAATTTCAATGTAAGGCTTGTTTTAAGTTTTCAATCAACAAAGATGTTGAGATATTAAGATCAGGCAAAAAAGCTCAGAGTTACTCATTGTTAGTGGGAAAGGTTGTTTCAACAAGACTGCAATTGTACATTGCACTTAAACCTTTTAACATGTTTACACAACAATTGTATGTGATTAAATCAGAATAAATCTTTGAAGTGTGTAACTTTAAAATTACAAGCCAAATAATAACTATCTTTGTACCTTTTCCCTTTTATCTGTACTTCCAGTCTCCTTATTGTTTTAAAAACTAATCTTTAATATAGTTTACGTAGTTCAAATGGTTTTGATGGTTTGGAAAGATGCTCCTCTTTCTCTGCCTGCTTTCTTCTTAACAATGGCCCTGCCTGTCTTTTGAGAGGGAATTTTCGATAACCGGCTCATTAAACTTCAGCTTTCTTTCAGATGAAATATAGAAGGAAACAAAATGTGAGAATGAAAGTCTTTGCTAGAAAATGTCAAAGGTCACAAGAGGGGGTAAGGTGTTGGAACCTGGGGGTCTTGAAGCTGTATAGCAGGTAGTTGAGTTTTAGACACCTGTGAATTTAGTGCTGGCTCATTTGGTGCAGCTTTTTTTCAAAGAAATAAGGGGCAGTAAGTGTAGAGCTTTGAAATACATTTAGATTTATCTAAATTGTCCTTCAGGCAATCGTGCATAAGAGTTAGTATTGATTGTCTTTTTATACATTTGCGGCCAACATTTTCTTAATTAGTGTAAGGAGCTCAACAGTTTTATATTTGCAAGAGGACATTTTAGCTTTACTAAAGGCTTGTAACTGGCTCCTAAGTCCATTCACAAGAAGGGAATATTCAGTCACAGCTCATCAATTCTGCACAGCAGACCTAAAATAAATTGGATGTGCCTTGGCACGCACCCACCTTGTGTTTGGTAACAAGCTGCCAGTTAACAGCAGACATCCACACGACTGCAACTTCCTCTGTGAATGTATCTAATATGTTTAGGTCATGTTCATATATTATATTGTTATATGTGGGGTTGTTTTGTGTTTGTGTGTGTGTGTGTGTCACAGCATGGCAGCATGGATTAGGACAGAAAGAAAAAAAAGATCTCCTGAACACGGGAGGTGTTTTAATGAGCTCAAGGTAGAGACCACATTTAAAACAAGGCTAAGCTTTTCCGCTGTCTAAGAAGAGCCATTTAAAGGGTGGAGGAAAGTGCTGCGTCAACACACAAATACACCAGGTCAAACAAATAATTGTGCTTCATCATGCTGGAAAATGTGTGCACAAGTGTGTTTATGTTTGTGTGTAGGTAAAGGGAGAAAGAAAAGTAATATACAGGTGTGAAATTAAGAAACAAAGAATACAACTACATGCTTATATTGTTGATGATTGTTGCAAGTTACAGTATGGCTCGATGGTGATCTACACTTTTGTTGTTAACTTTAAGCTCCCAAAAGTAATTTGATATGATGACATATTGTATAAACGCTGAAAGAATTCACATCCACAAGGAAGTCAAAGGTCACAATCTTCAACAGAGAGCCACCCGCTGATACAGATTCAGTGTCTCGCTGAAAGACCTTTCATGGGGTGTTTACTCGGCACTTGCCATGCTCTGGGTTTGAACTTTAGACTCCAAAGAACCCAAATAAAGTGCTGACTAACACTTTGGCACAATGCTTGTATTTGTAGGTTAACATTGTGGCCTGCAGCTGCTCTGCCACTGACCATATGTGCAGCTAATGAGCAAATAGTCATTCTTTGTACACACTCGCACTAGCTGTTAGAAAGTGAGGGGTTCTACAATGTTTTCTGATTCAACAGAAGCAACTGTTACACAGTCTCACAAGTGTGTTGCTGGACTTCATACATTGGACTACTTTTGATATTTCTTCTTTTTCATATGATACTGTAAGATTACATTCTAAACACTGAGAACTCCACTTTAGACACTACACGCACACACACACGCACGCACACACACACACACACACACACACACACACACACACACACACACACAACACACACACACACACACACACACTACACGCACACACATTTAGCCCTTTGTTGTTGGCCGTAAGAGATGGTAACAAGAGCCTCCTGAAGAGAAGCCACTGAAACAGACACACAATAGACCTCTGTGTGTGTGTGTGTGTGTGTCTGTGTGTGTGTGTGTGTGTCTGTGTGTCTGTGTTTTAACTTGAAGAGTTCTACACAGTGAGAAATTGTGTCTGTCTGTCCTTGACTCCTGACTCCTCTCCTCCCTGAGGCTGCATGGGATCCTGATACAAAATAATCCAGACAAACAGCTTTGTTTCCATGCACAAGAGGCTTCCAGATAGCGATAAAACCAATGTTAATCACTGTAGGTATTGGGAGCTCCCGGTATACTTGCACACATTTTCCCTGTAAAGCTCAGGAAAGATTTGGGCTTGTTTCCAAAGCAGCTTAGATCGTTAACTGCGTCAGAACCCTGCGTCTTAGCCGTGAGCATG